TGAATTTTTTCTTTAAAAAAAAAAGTAATTAATCTTGTTCGTGGTAGATATGATATTAAAGAGAAACAAAGTGTGTATCCCCTCATAAGTTTTAAGATAACTACATTTTAAGGCCTCAAACTCGAGACTTAGGGGATGTTTGGTTGGATGGAATCTATTGGAAAATAAATTCTTCAAATTTGAGGAAAACAAAATCCTTGTCCTGGAAAGATGGGAAGAAAAATTGATATGATTTGACTATTTTGCCCTTGTTTTCTTTCGAAATTATATTATTCTTATTAATTTGTAGGGCATATAGGTCTTTATACTCATTAATCCTTAAAATTCTAAATCTAACCAAACAATAGAATTAGTATTCCCAGTAATTTTTTTTTTTCCACCAACCAAACAATGAAATTCATTTTCCTAATAATTACTTTTCCATGGAATTTCAATTCCACTTCCCTTGAAATATTTTTTCCGCGAACCATACGAGCCCTTATAGTTAAGTTATAAAGAAATTCATGTCATCCCATCCACAACTCAGGACTATATTAAAGGTAGGTTGCTTTTCGGGGCAAATTTTATTGTGGATCATGGTTCACACGGTTTCTTTTAATGAAACAAAATGGCACTAATTATTTTTATGGCATATTCAGTTTCATTTTATATACACTTTAGTTTCATTACAATACAACTAAATTATCATTTTGATTTAACTACAGCTTCATTTGACATTATACACTCAATATGCACGCGAGACCAAATATTGAATTTCCTTTTATATACACTGTAGTTTCATTACAATACAACTAAAGTATCATCGTAATTCAATTACAGTTTCATTTGACAATGTACACTCAATATATAAGACATGTTACTCAGTTTCATTTTAGATAAAAAATAGTTTCATTACAACACAACTAAAGTATCATTCTGATATATAAGATCTAATTCTTATTACTTTTATGTGCATAATTGATATCGAACTCATGATTTCATGTTAATTGGAAGCTAAGTATGTGCTTATTTGATTCCTTTGTATCATTTAGGTTATTTGGAGACATTGATTGCAATATCATGTATATTAGAGTTCAATTGATGTGTTTTTAAGTCATCTTGACACAAATTAAAAGGCATGTTCCGGGAGTCATGAGAGGTCAAGAAAGTGAAAAAGAGCGAGTTAGAAGTATCATGTCATGACCCGAAGACCGAAATGAATAAAGGAGATGATGAAATATGCATTTTGAAGTGAAGATTATGGGTCATGCCGGCATTCACACCGTGACTATCAATGTGACTCTATTTTGCTATGCTTTTCTCTATCAAGCGACGTTTAAGTATTTTGAGCATATCTCATCGTAGGAATGTCCAAATTAAGTGATTCCAACGGTATTGGAAATGTATTTCAAAGGGATACAACTTCTATGAAGAAAACAAAGTCTAGTTCGAACGTCTACAAGGTGAAAAATAGCCTAGAAACCTAACCTTACGCCTAGTGAACTGCTAGTTGGCGTGAATTTTAGACTATAAATACCATTATGTGGTTACTTCTTAAAAACTTTTCATTCTCAACTCTCCCTCTCTGAGAGAAAACCTCCCCAAACCTTTCATTTGTGTAATCAATCCAACTTTGAAGAAGATTTGAAGAACAAATTTAGATTTCATGTTGCAATTTTCAGATTTCATTTCCCCTAGTTCTTAATCAAAGTTAAGTCTTTCTTGTTGCTTTCTTTATATTTTCTTTCTTTCAATTGTGATTCCAATGTCTCTTGTTTCAATTGATACTTTCATTTACATTTCAATCCATGCTTAGCTATATTCAATTAGGAATTTGATTAAGTCATATTTTGTGATTTATGTGATTGAATTGAGCTATGAGCTAGTGTAATCACTTGGTGATGACTCTAGCTGTGAGCTTGGGTGGTCAGTATTAACTTTTGTATGGTTGTGGCCAAATTATGCAAGAGGTACATGAAAAAGGTATTGTCATTATGAGAATAGATTAATATACCATAGTCACACCTCTCACTAATCCAACTCACCTTTGAGAAAAGGGGATTGGAAGGAGATGCGAACATCACATGTTTGATAAAATGCATCAATGGCCTTAAGTCAGCTTGAAAGTGAGGCTTGAAGCTAATTGAGAGTCCAACGACCACACTAGAGTGGGCACATAATAGTATCTCCCTAGTTCCCTTCTCAATGCATGACATGAGTTTTAACCAATCATACACTATATCATCTACACTTAAAGTGACCTAGTTCAAACCCTTAGTTCTACTATTGATTGTTAATTGTTGCTTGATCTTTCATTACAATTTGATTGTTATTTTCTTTATTTTGCTCTTATCACACCTATTACTTTGAACTAGCTTCCAAACACTTTACACTATTGTGATTAACAACCTACTATTCAACTCCCTTTCGGACCACTCTTTGAGACGATATCTGGTGTGAGGATACTCTCTCACACACACTCCATTATTCCATCACCACTTTAACACAATTTTCACATTTTAATTCAACTATAGTTTCATTTGATAATATATATTTAATATATATGTGAGACATGTTATTCAGTTTTTTTCAGCACATAATAAATACAAGATTAGTAACGATTGCTGTATCCATTTCTTTTTACTTAAAAACGAGGATGTTTTTTGACCATGGTTCACACAGCTGTGTGAACCATACTCCACCGTATAGGCAAATTATGATGTGCATCCGTATGCACCATGCATGGTGCATACGGATGCAAAAACGATGTCATTTTATTAAAAACGCGCATCTCAATTAAAAAAAATTCAGTTTCGATTCTCAGCAACAACATTATATTGTACATAATTTGAACTATATATCCAGAATCAATGAACTAAAATTCCAGAATTTATGAACTAAAATTCTAGAATAGATAACTAAAAATCCATAATGAATGAACTAAATATCCAGCATGAATGAAAAAAATTAGTTTCGATTCACGTCTAAATATCCATAATCAATGAACTAAAATTCCAGAATCTATGAACTAAAATTCCAGAATGAATGAACAACATAATGTTGTTGAGAGGAATCGGAACTGAATTTTTTTTAAGTGAAATACACATTTCTAATAAAAGACGTCATTTTTGCATCCGTATGCACCACAACATAAACCCTACCGTATAGCAATCGGCTTTTTGGGAAGAGGGCCACATTTAAGTGGCATAATCATAATTGAAATAAAGCTTCTTCTTCTTATTACTTGTTGAAATTTGAAAATAAATTTTTATAGTTTCTATTCGATTTTAAGTGGTGTTTCTTTCTTCTTCCTTCTCCCTTCTCCTTCTTCTATTTTTAGTGCAAATAGTTTTTTCATGAATTACTAGTTAAATAAACCTTTTGACACATTCATCTAAATTGCATAGGTAAGGGACATATATATCAGCCATAACTTTGCACAATTTTGGTCTAGCATCATTATATTTAAATAGAGTTTTTATCATATTTCATGTTGATGATAAAAATATCCCTATTGTTCCATCAAATAAAACAAACTCTCATTCTGCATTATATTTATTAGGCCGGTTTTTTTCTTTTTAAATAAGAAATACACCCTAATATCATTTTAATCATTTAACTATAATAACATTTTCATTTCTAATTTTGTTATCATTGTTGCTCATAATACTATATATGTCCTGTAACCAGTGCCACCATCACTAAAAGGGATTAATATTCTATTGCCTCAACTTTCTTTTATACACACGAAATGGCACCACCACCAATCAAGGTTATAATTGCTTATCTAGCCACAATGGAGCATAATTTCTCCTTACATTTCACTCTACATTTGCTTTTCCCTTTAATCTTGCCTCCTTTTACTCCACTTTTACCCTTAATCAACCTCCTTAGTTTTCCCCAATCTCATTCACTTATGAATGAAGCTAAATTTTAACCCCACCTTACAAATATCATTTACCCATTGTTCTTCTTTATAAACTAAACACAATTATACATGTATAATCATGTATACTATATTGATATTGGTACTATGGAACTTGATATAACAATACCAATTATATTCTTTATTTTTTAAGAACGGAGAAACCTATGATTAGTATCAAATGATATACACTAGGTAAATCCCTCACGTGTAATAGTCGCAAATCACATATAAAAAGTAAATTACGTTAAAAAAACTATATAACAAGTGTACCTGAAAAAGCACGTGAGTCTTGAATGCAAGATTTAACTTAATAATTTAATTTTATTTCAATTATAAAGCTGGACTAGATGCAATCCTACTCCAGATAGAATAAAGAACATAAAACAGATAGCAGTAAAAGAAAGCATGCACTAGGAAATGTTCACGTAGTTCGGAGCCTCACTCCTACGTCTACGGGGCCACTCACATCAACCCAAATCCACTATGATGAAAAGGAGTACAAGAGGAGAGTTAATTACACACTAAAGTATAACCTATAACTACTCCAGAGCCTACTCCAGTGGATCCGATGTGCAGGCGATCTTCATTTCTTCATGAACTGGTTAAGGACCTTTCTTCACACTCAGCAATACAGAATAAATTTGGAATAATTAACCAAGAAATTTCAGAGTAAAATCATGTGAAAGAGTGTGTAGTCAATACTAAACAAAGTAGCATTTTATATATGTAGTAAAGAGATCTTCGATCCACACATCAAGCACCCTTTCCATCATTGATTTTAGCTTGCTCCAATTGATGTAGATCTCCCCCATGATAGGGTCTTGACCTAATAAAAGATTTGAAGTAGATGCATACTTCCTGGATTACTTTCTTGTGCTGATCCAATCAACTACTCCAGACAGTGTGATTAATTCAGACTATTTTGACAACTAATCTAGGCCAATATTAAGAGGTTTAAATATTCAACATTTTTACACTTACAGTATCAAGAAAGTCTTGACAAGAATTTAATTTCGGGAACAAGTATACTTTGGTACTATTTGCATTTGTTAAGGTTGTGGTCGTGTCTCTAGCTTAGAATCCAAGAATTCATGTAAACATTGGCACAGTGACTTCTTTTTTACAAACGGCACTCTTCCCAAGTGCGACTGTTGACAGCATCCCCACCAAGTTCCAACATCTCATTAGAAAAGAACAAGAATTGCATTCAAGACCCCAACAACTATCCTTCTTTCCGCCCTCCCAAAAACTCGAATCAAACAGCACAGAAAGAGGCATAGGGAGATAGAGAAGATGGCAATTTCCAGCGAGAAATCGGTGGCAGAAGGCAAAGTTTGGAGTCTATGCAAACTGCCCAGCTTTTGGAGTTCAACCAATAATGCTTCTCCTTCTGCTTCTTCTTCTTCATCTTTCAGGAATCACCCCGACAATGGGCTGCCCGGGGATCATCAGCCCAGCCGCCATAACCCCTCTGCTAAGCTTCCTTCCATGAACATCAAGTCTTTTCTTCCCACCCGCCGCAGGCTCAGTCTTGATCCGCCCAACAAGTTATACTTTTCATGTAAGCTTTTTAATTTGCCGTTCACTTTGGGGATTCTGGTTTCCCCTAAAGATAATTATGTGCTCAACATTCACCACACTTTTCAATTTCCTTCTCAAACTTTAATTTCGTTTCTTTTCCTGAAGATGAACCTGGGAAGCAGGTCAAGAGCGCAATCAGAATCAAGAATGTTACCAAAGCTCATGTTGCCTTTAAGGTATATTTGCAAAAAAGATAGCATTTTGCCAGTGCATTATTTCTTTACTAGTCTAAATGGTCATTTCTCATGTCTAATTCCTGCGAAAATTCAGAAAAAAATCACAATTAGCTGCCTGAATTTGTGCATAGATAGGTGGGTACATTTATGTCAAAAAGCTTTTGAGCTGATTGGCATTGCCTGAACAAACAGCTATAATTTCATTGATAGAAAAGGTGATGAATGATATCAAGTTGGGGACAGTAATGATTCTGTGGACTAAGTTAGTGCAGGATGTTGAAATCGTGCCTACCGTGTAGCCAATCTAGTCGGTCCATTAGGAATAATGTACCATGGAGTAATATATTTCCATGTCTTTCTACAGTTTCTGCATCATTTTCCATGGTAGTAGGGCCTAGACAGAAAGGCGAACTGTTCTAATAGTGAACTTAGCAAATGTATACAACTATTTCGAACATCTTTTGTTTATAATGCAATCCAAGTTTGTCTCCATAAGAAGACAAGAAGTGCTAGTGACGAGTCTAAATATATATATATGTATCTAATCTTAGTTGCTTTGATTTTATCTTAGTTCCAAACAACTGCACCGAAAAGTTGTTACATGCGTCCCCCGGGAGGTATACTTGCTCCGGATGAAAGCCTTATTGCAACAGGTGGTAATGACTTTCTTGGTTTTCATTTTCTCGGTGTAGTGATCGTTGTGTGTAATTTATGAAATGGGTTTTGCTTTGTTATGTTTTTCGGTTCAATGGTTTTGTTATCAACAGTGTTCAAATTCGTGGAGCCGCCCGAGAATAATGAGAAACTAGTTGGCAAGAAGAGCAGGGTCAAGTTCAAGATAATGAGCTTAAAAGTAAAAGGGGACATGGATTATGTGCCAGAGCTGGCAAGTAACACTGTAACATCGATCTTTCCTTTTATTTTATGAATTTGAACTGCTATATTGTGTGTGTATATATGCTTTGTTGAGATTAACAAGAACAAGAAACAATAATAATGGCAGAAAAGGTAAAGAAGGCAAGACAAACTCAACATGCTTCTATTAAAATCTATTTTGAAGCGGTGTTTGGTTAAAACGTAAACTGAGATCATTTATATGCGGGTTCTGGAAGAACATATTAATGCGCTGGACTAACTAACAACTTTTTTTACAGTTTGATGAACAAAAGGATGAAGTGGCAGTTGAACAAATACTGAGAGTAGTCTTCCTTGACGTAGAGCGCCCTTGCGCTGTAAGTATTCTTTTTTACCAATCTACATGGAGGTGTTGGCGGGTTTATTTACGCACCGCCATTTCTCATGCTTTATTTACCGTCTGAAGGCACTAGAGAAACTTAATCGTCAACTAGCAGAGGCTGAGGCAGAGCTCGAAGCACGCAAGAAGCCTCCAGAAGATAATGGCCCCAAAATTGTTGGAGAAGGTCTTGTTATAGATGAATGGGTAAGTTATTTTAACTTCTACTTTATAAACCCGAATCTCATAAAAATAAAAACCACCCTCTCGAGTTCCAACCGAGTGTTGGTATTTGGAAAAAAATGCAAGAACAACCTCAACTCTCCTAGAGTTGTAGGACTAGAATTTGGAACCAATTAACATATTGTGTATGTCCCATATGTATAATGTATTGGAGGATGATAGGTGTTGCCGTGAACTTAAGCACATTGCTGAACCACGTAAATTGTGTCTTCTTTATTTTCTGCCATTGTTTTGGATTCTTGTTCTCGTTTATCTAAACAGAACAGCACATGCATATATGAGTTTTTGAAAAGCTGCCTTGCCATGGCTTCTCATTTGATCTGCTCTCTGTGTTTTTGCAATTGCAGAAAGAAAGGAGGGAAAGATATCTGGCTAGGCAACATGTTGATGGAGTTGATTCAGTGTAAACATTGGAATATGTGTAGAGAACCTTCCAAATTCTCAGCAATTCACCCTAAGATCAGGGGAGCTTCACAAGTTTCTGTCAACCATTTCTGCACTTTGATATCACAACCATGTTAGCTACTGCCTGCTGCATTCCTATTTGTAAATACTCTCTAAATCTGTCTAGGATGCTATGAACTAATATCAAGCCTGAAAAGTATTCAATTTGGTAGCTGACATTGAATTACTTCTTCTTTTCTCTGTATTGGGATGAAGAGTGAAACCCACAGTCACTACTCACACGGAATAAACGTCGCTTTGTGATCCTAGGCGGCAAATGACCAAAGGAAGTAAACCTAGTCAAAAAGGCCACTGGACTATTCTTATTGTCAGTCGAACTTGTAACCTTGTGGTTACCAAATCAACCGTATGATCCACTTAGAAAATGTGAATGAATGATTTGAGACCCAATTTGGATGTGATCTTGATTATGATTTATGGTGCAAAGAAAAAATGAACTTACTGGATAAAGATAGGAACTTTATCACTTTATGAGTTAAAAAGATTAAAGAAATTAAGACAAAAAGAAAAGAAAAATGCATGGGCCCACAGTGTAACTGTAGCACACCTTGGTGTCGGCTATCTGTTGGTCCTGTCGGATAAGATTGCCACCTGTCCCCCACTCTCCAATCTCCATTGTATATGAGCTCATCTCTCAGATCTCCTCCATCACTGTCATTATTCTTAGTATTTCGACCGGAAATCCTAAAGCGAATTCTAAAAGACTCTGGGAAGCAAAGTAAGAAGCTAGAAAGGGATCGCTATGAACTGCTTGAATAGAGTTTGGATAGCCGCCAGCGTGGCCGTCGTGAATAACCAATCGGGTCTCGGCCAGCGGTGGAAATCCGCCGACAGCCCGCCGCTCTCCGGCGTTCCGGATGGGTTTACTGCAAGTGGGAGCCAAGACGAGAGGCGGCGGGCAGACGATTCGCTCCGGCAAGTCATGTTCTTGAACTGCTGGGGACAGAGCTAATCAGAAAAACCTCTCAACGGCGATCGGAGCTCTTCGTTGGGCCCCGTACCCGGATCGACCCGTTCTGTAGGATATTGGGCCAGAATTTTCTAGGCCCATTGGACTAAGCCTGGAATGGCAAATCTGCAATGCTATGTTTTATTTTCATTTTATGTATATAGTTGAACCGAATGTAAAGCAATGGCCCATAGGCCACATAGTACATGACTAATGTAAATTATGCCAATTTTATAAAATTATATTTTGTATAACACCAATCGTTATTGTGTGGACCATAACCGTATTTTGTATACTGTAAAATAATGTATATTCAGTACAAAAATAATGTATATTATTTTCAGGAGATGTATATTAATTTTGTACTGAGTGTACATTATATTGTATAATGTATATATAGTACAAAAATAATGTATATTTAGTATATTAAAAATGTACTTTTTGTTATGGTCCACATAACATTATGTGGACTATGGTCCACACAATAATTTGCCATATAACACCCAGAGTCATATTACATCTACTTTAAAAATAAAATATTTAAGTGAGCTAGGTCGAGTTAACAAATTTAAAACATGACCTGTTATAGTGTAGGATTTATGTTGGCTAGATTGGTACACTTGACATCACTATAAATTTATACAATAAAATTCATTATAAATTTATAATATGAACTCTCCTTGACAACACTTGACATAATAAACCGGCGCGCGCAGGCATATTGCGTAAGCAGTTTGAATGGAACTTTATCATTACGCGTAAAAAGATGTGAATATGCATACGTGCTTACGCCATGAAAGAAACTTAATGCCAATTATATATATATATGCTATATATAAATTATAAAATTAATGAAACACACACACACATATGTGTGTATGTGTGTGCAAGTTGTGTGCGTATATAATTATATATACACATATATATTTGATGAATTTAATTAACCCGAGATGGACCCGAATCAATAAATCTGGATAAAAATATAATACGAATAATAAATAAATAATATAGAACGATGTCATAAGGCCGTGAGACCGTATATTGTATGAAATACCGTAGAATTGGCTATTAAAATAGTATTTTAGGACAAAGTGTATAATAAATGTAGAATGTAGATAGAATGCCCCTTGTTAGGACAAGGAGGGGATTTTTATACAAGCTAAACCCCTCAACCGCCTCCCCCTAAATCGGGGGGTGGTTAGATCACTACTTTGACCGGGCCCGTGTGGACCGGGTCGGGTCGTGTCCCGAGCTCGGGTAGGGTTGTGCCATCCGACCCGAGCCCCACGTAGCTCGGCTCGGATCGGGGCACCTCCATGGTGCTCCGGGTCCGTGTTGCTCTTGGGCTCCCACGTGGTGCTCCGGGTCCGTATTGCTACCCCGGGTCGGGTCGGGTCGTGGGTATAATATATCTATCAATATTGATTTATGTATGTTTTTTGAATATAAGTAAAAGTATACATTTTACTTTAAATATTGTACATTTTAATTTTATTGAACAAATTTATCCTTACTAAATTCATGTTAGACAAAACTACACTTCAATGTTATAACTTTGTTACTATTTAATTCTAACATTGATGACTCTATCGTTATTACCATATACTTATATCTAGCATATCTTCTTTTTTATTATTTAATTATCATTTTATTAAAATTATTATATAATTAATTTAATTGTTAATTATATTTTAATTAAATTTTTATTAATGCTAAGTCATATGTGATAATACATATATTATTTGCATAATATATTAATTTTTAATTATTTATATTTATTAATATTTTAATATTGAGCATACTTAGTGGAGCATCATGGAATGAAGCAAAATAAATCGAACTAAATACCTAGATTCGATGTTTGTAATCCTTGATGTTAATCATTACAATTAATACGCTCACATTATATGCATTCATGTTAGTTTGTTAGTTCTCATGGGAGGAAGGATTATCATTTTATCATATATATATATATATATATATATATATATATATATATATATATATATATAGGGAATGGATTAGGTGCAAAGACAATTTTCCGTGTGGTTAATGCAAAAAGATGCACCTTAAGTATTAAAATGGCGCACCTTAAATTAAGTACACAAACCACGCATCTTAACCACAAACAAATCACTTTAAAAACACAAATCACGCACCTAAAGTTTTAAAATGGTGCACATTAAGTACACAAACCACGCACCTTAAGCACACAAACAAAGCACCTTAAGAACACAAACTACGCATCTAAAGTTTTAAAATGGCATACACCTTAAGTTTCAACAACTGACGCACCTTAAGCATACAAATCACGCATCATAAGAAGGAAAACCACGCACCTAAAGTTTTAGGCCGACACACCTTTTCAACAAACTTAAGCACACAAATCACGCACCTTAAGAAGGAAAATTACGGATCTAAAGCTTTAGATTGATGCACTTAAGTTTTCAACAACTAACGCACCTTAAGAAGGAAAACCATGCACCTAAAGCTTTAGGCACTACTGGAAATTATGGAATTTCCGACCACCTGAAAGTGATCTTAAATCAAGTCGAAAGTCTTGTACCGACCACTTTTGGTATCCGGAAAAACCTTTCTTGCTATTTCCGACCACTTTTTGGACTTTTTGGTATCAACTTAATTTAAGATCATTTTCAGATGGTCGAAAATTTCATAATTTCCAGTAGTGAGGCCGACACACCTTTTCAACAACCTTAAAGCACACAACCCACACACCTTAAGAAGGAAAACTACGCACCAAAAGCTTTAGATTGATGCACTGAAGTTTTCAACAACTAACGCACCTTAAGCCACACACAAAATTATACACCTTAAGAAGGAAAATCACACAACTTAAGAAGGAAAATCATGCACCTTAAATTTGACCTAGATGCAAAAAGATTAAATTGCCACCGCGTTTTTTTAATCATTGTCAATCCTGGACGTTGATTTAGGCAAGATCAATGGCTCATATTTAACCGCACTGCCGCACGGGACACACCCAACCCACACAAGAACTGAATTTATATATATATATATATATAAACACACAACAGACGTCCTCTACGTGCGATGTCACCCTGCAAAGATACACGCATCTGCATGCATGCATGAAGGTAAGCACGTACGCAAAAATTTCAAACAATGATACATCATCGCCGGTCTTCTAGCAGGTTTTATATATATATATATATTCTTTTATTGTATTATTAAAAGGAAAAAAAATCAAATTGTGCATGGCAAGTGCGTACACGTATAATCGTATTGATATACGCATATATAAAGTATAAATTAACGTATGTATTCCCTTCACCGAATCATATCGATCTGACATGCATGTATTATATTGTTTAATAAAATGTGGAGGAAAAATGGGCGCAGAAAATCAAAGTTGGTTGAGGGCCATCGAGCAGCACCTCACAACTATTAACCTAACGACATTCATATAACTACCAAAAAAATATAATAAAAATTGTCAACTCTGGTGACGTGGCGTCTCCTCAGGGAAAGCTCTCACTGGCTAACCCTATCTTTGTGACAACTAATTCCCTTCAAGAAGTATATGCAGCGTAAGCGAATCGAAGTTTCATATTAAACAAAAATTAGGAAGCAGCCGCAACCTCAGTAAGCAAATCGAAGACAATATTTTTATTTTTTAACGTTAATCTTTAATTTACTTACAGCAGACACAACAGTCAAAGGTTAATCCAGACAGGTGTATGATTTATTGGTATTCAATTGTAAGATTTTTCCCTAATTTAATTATATATTGTAAATATTAATTAAGTTTTCATAGTATAAGGTCTCTTAAACAATTACTTAAATTAAGAGTTTGGTCATAGGAAGTTATTAGATATTCAGTTTTAAAGTTGAATATCTACATATAATGATGACAATTAATCAAGTTTTTCTGTCCTTCCTCATACTACTATTACGTTATAGAAAATACTATATATATCATTTAGTTTTATGTGAGATTTCAATATATATGTATATTTTCCTAAGCATTAAATTAATTGCAATTAGGAGTTTTTAATTAAATATTAGGAAGATAGGATTTGTCTTGAAACAGGGAACAAACCCTGATGTTTATCTTCAAAGTTTTTTAATATTTACTTCCTAATATGTGGTTAATTATTGACTTTAATATTGTTTTAATAAAATCATGACACAAGTTTCTACGAATGATGTAACTTGTTAGGATAAGGGTTATTGGG